TTTGGGTTTCCCCCCATTTTTTCCTTTTATTGGAAATAGGTTATTTTTCTCACACAATATATACTGTTTATGGCTCCCCTCCCTCTGCTCCTCTTGGGTCCTCCCCTCCTCCCTCTCATGCAGACCCACCCCTTCTAGATCTCACTAGAAAACAAAGAGGCTTCTATGGGATGGCACCAAAACAAAGCAGAATAAAATAAAATATAGTAAGATGAAACAAAAACCAACACATCGGGATTGGACAAAACAAACAGAAGGAAAAGAACCCAAGAGAAGGCGCATGAGACAGAAACCCACTCATTTACACAATCAAGAACCCCACAAAAATACTAAAGTGGAAGCCATAATATATATGCACAGGACCTGTAGAGTAAAAAGGGAGAAGAAAATATATATAAGTAAAATAAAGGTTAAAAAAATGAGGTTTTTTTTTTTTTTTTAAAGAAAAGGAAGGGACCTGGTATAAGACATTATAAGACAAGGAACCTCCAAAGATGCCATCGGGTTCCTTTTCTGTTGACCATCTGGTGCTGGGCAGGCAGCCTACCCTTAGGAGCAGTTTGTTTCCCATAGAAGAAACTCAGTTTTCATTTGGAAGTGATTATCAATCATAGACTGCTTCTGGGTTAGGGATGGGGCACATACCCAGCTCCTTTGATTCCTAAACCTTTAATATCCATGTATCTTGATCAGTTTGCTAACATAGCTTTCTCTGAGACATTGAACCTGCTGAACAAGTTCCAATTTTTTCAGCCTTCAACTTCTTTGACATTTGTCAATGCTGAAAGATTCTTTTTTTAAATCTGTAAGTACTCAATATTTTCTCTTACATCCTCAGCTTTCTCTGCTTGGTTCCTTTAGTAATTTATTTTCCTAGATCCCCAAACCATCTGAATCTACATTACACTGTCACATTCTGGCTCTTCTAAATTGCGTTCTTGTCTGTGTGTTTTTCCTGTCTCCCTGGCTTAGCTGTAGATGCCCAATGGTTAGGAAGAACACCTCAGAATTCTGTAGAATGCTCAGAACAGAAATTTAGATGCTCAGGAAACATCAGTGTTTGATTGACTGAAAACAAGTCAATTAAATAAAAGAGCCAATTAAATAAAAGATCTGGAGTTGTTTATACAAAAGAAATGGCCATCTCATTTCAGAGATAAACACTGCCAATACCAAAAGAATTAAACAAAACCTATGTTTGTACATGGGTATCCCCTTATAATGACTGAAAAGATTAGAGATTAAGGAAGGAGTAAGGAAAAATTTGTTTCTGGAATGTTCTAATGTTTTTAAGTTTACTATAGTCTAACATATAGAAGGTTATATACATACATAGATATAAATAATATAGATATAGATTTAGATGAGAGAGGTATATATACATATTTATAATAATACAGTTAGGGCTCTAGAATATACATTTTACTCCACAAATTACAAATGTCTTATACTTTCATTCATTCTATTTCATTGCCTCTGAACTAAAACCGAAATGTCTGCTTTTATTAAGAACTAACACATACAGGTCACAATTTATAGATTTATCTGTATAGTTATTCCTTAAATTGAGGAAGAAAATTATTAACTTGGTGACCGTCTCTCACTCACACTCACCAAGCCTTGCTTATTCCCCCTCCTAATTCCGAATGAAGTGACCTGACAAGTTTATCGTGAAAGTAGTAGGCAGAGCATGATGGCCCAGCTGAGAAACTGTGAGGAAAGTGTGGGGAATTCCCTGCACATAGGAGCTTGCATTCTCCATGAAATAGACCCAGAGATGGCTGCCAAGAAGATGTGAGTCCTAAACTGTCTGATGAAACTCAGACGGTTTCCTAGGAGAAGGCCTCTCTACCTGCACAAAATCTCACTTATCTTGCTATTGCCTTCCCAGCCAGCCACTGTTGACAATGGCAAAGTAAGGTTCCTTAGCAGATACACCCACCTCAAGTGTGTGGTTAGACCTCTCGCTGCTGAGCCATAATAGAAGCAATTTAGTCCCATATTGTTAGTTCTTTATGCTTTTGAAATATGAACATGAATTCCGAATTTCCACTTTTGTAGATAAAAAGAAACAGCAAGTGATCCAACAGTCTCCAATTTATGACAAATTATGATTCTAAGCATTATAATCATTAAATGTATTACCCTTGCTTTAGTGGCAGGTCAGAGATCTCATTATTTCATTATTATTTACTATGTTAATTCTCTCAGTTTGCTGAAATGTTCACTGCGCAACTTAGTGACTTACCATTTTGTGTTCCTTGTGGGTCTTGAGCATCAGCCTAGGCAGTATAGGGTATTCTCAGGATTCTGTCGTCTTCGATTCCTTCAACACTTTGGGAAGATTTCATCTGAGCATAAGATGCTATGGACAATGACGGCCCACAAGCCCAGGGCTGAGTAAATACGTTCAAATTAGACAGTTGGATGTAAATGACACAGGATGACCTAGACATCGAAAAACTTACTTTGAACTATTAATTTTCTGGCACTTTCTACAGCAGAGGATGTAGCTTGTATATCTGATCACTGTAGCCATCAGGAACCAGAACATTAAACTTCTCCCCAAAGTTCTTTTGCTCCTTTCGATCTTTGGTGCCTTATCTAAACACAACTCTACGCAAAGCACCCCAGCACCAGAGTTCTCTGTCCTTCTCACATCGCTGTCGGTCACCTTACTCTGTGGAATTACGGACTTGAAATGTCAGAATTCTGGTTTAAAAGACTAAAGAGGGCTAGCTGAGCTAGAGAAGTAAACAATGGACCAATCCAGTCCTTTAGTCATGCTTCCTGCGGTGATTCCATTCCGTCATCCCACCTCCGCAAGCCCTTGGGAGGTCAGTGTGTCCACTCAGCACTTACCGCTTCTGTTTCTCAGGTCCCCACCCTCTCCGGCCAGCTGTGACTGTCCCATTGCTTCACTGTGCCCCCTGTTCTCTCTCTACAGACACAAAAGACATGAGTGACTTTGAGAATGAAGGATTCTTTGCCTTGCATCATCGCCGAGGAGCCATCAAACAGGCCAAAGTCCACCACGTGAAGTGCCACGAGTTCACAGCCACCTTTTTCCCTCAGCCCACATTTTGCTCTGTCTGCCATGAATTTGTCTGGTACAGTAACTTCGTGTTTTCCTCCCAAGCTTCAAGAGCTGTCTTTTGTCACTGCTGTGCCCTGAGTGCCTCACAGTGAGGGAGTGTGAGGGAGTCTGAGGGAGTCTGAGGGAGGAGTGTGAGGGAGTGTGAGGGAGTGTGAGGGGCTGAGTACTGTAGGATGGTGGTCAGTGGGCTGATCAGCACTGAAAACATCTAAAAAGCCTGATTCCACACAAGATTTTTTAATAATGTGGCTCTGGAAGAGGGAGACCCACTCCAGAAAGAGTCTTCTGTTAGTTAGCTTTCCTTGACTATGACAAAATACCCACGACTATCAATCTTATAGGAGAAAAGGCTTATCTGGGCTCACAGTTCCAAAAAAGGTTGCCTATCTCATTTATTTTAGGCCTATGACAAGGCAAGACGCTGAGGCAGGACAGAGCTGCTTAAGGCACCTTAAAGCATCCAGGAAGCAAGAGAGGAGAGAAAAGACCAGGGTCCCAGCATTCCTTCCAAGGGCACACTCCAGTGACCTCACTTCCTTCTACCAGATCCCACCTCCTTACAGTTCAAATATCACCACTGGCTAGTTCCAAAACCTTAGCACATGGCTATGGGGCATTTCAGATCCAAACCATGAGAAGGTCCAATGGAGTTTTGTTTCTGACTAACTGAGAGGCTGCTGGTACGTGAGGGAAGGAACAGATGAGGGCAGATTGTTGTAAGCAAAGCTGTGTAATTTTATAGTCAACACCTTCATCATCCCAATAGCCCAACCGCTGCACTGCTGTACGCTGCACCAGATAGCACCATCCCACTGTAACAAATGGCTGAAATGAAGCTCTTGGGTGTCTTAGCCTCACAGATGAGTGTAACCACACAGCAAAAGCTATGGTAGAGTGGGAGTGAAATGATGCCTGTTTCTGCTCTCAGCATCTGTGCCCGCTAAGAGATGCTGGTCCCCTCAGGCTCCTGCAGAACCATTAATGCACAAATTCCCGCTTCAAGAATCCTCAAGCCAGCAGATTACGGTGAACTTCCATTAAGTGTTTTTCCTCTCATCACCCGGACTCCCTTTGTTTCCTTTGTTTCTAATCAACAGAGCCGCTCAGGAACCCGTCTTTATGTCAAGCTTTATGGGTAAAAGATATTCTCAGACTCTCAGAATGAGGAAATGAAATACTTCATAGATGAGTATGCTCATCTGTGTAGAAACAAGAATGAGCAAGGCAGTGGCTCACTCATTAGTTAAGCGAGGCAGTGACTTACTTCTTCAGTGAGGAACATAGAAATTTATTGCCAGGAGCCTGTGATACATTTTGGTCTGGTGTGGTAAGCAGTTTGTTTGAAAATGAAAAGATGAAAAGAAAATTAATCTCATTCAATTGATTATAAAAATTTAAGTAAAGCAACATAAAATTAAAATACTTTCTTGGCAAGTGGTACACGGGGGTTACTAATCAGAGGGAATCCTCTGTGGTCTTAGGAATATCGCAGTCTCTTTTACCTATAGAACATTTCTGTTGTTGATGCCAATGTGAACATGCATTTGAATCTCACATTGCTTTCTTACAGGGGACTGAACAAACAGGGGTACCAGTGCCGACGTAAGTACAGAGCATTTCAGTTGTATCCTCGGTGTTCTTTGAATTGGGTTGTTCCTCCAGAAATTATAAATGGCATTTGTTTCTTTTCAGAATGTAATGCAGCGATTCACAAGAAGTGTATCGATAAAGTGATAGCCAAGTGCACAGGATCAGCTATCAATAGCCGAGAAACCATGGTATTGGTGTATTTAGATTCCATTGCTTTACTCTCTTCACCTTTTCCAGCAAATCAGATTGTCAGCCTCACTCTTAACCTCAATAGCTACTAAAACCTCGGGTGAAAATAAGCGATCCAGAAACAGTGAGTTAAATGGATATGTATTTTAGACAGTAATAGTTTGTTCTCTGGGTTATCTTTATTTCTTGCACATTCAAGCGTTCACTATCATCAGAGTTCTGTTCTTCACCTAAACCTGAAATAGTACTATTCCATAGAAATATAGTGAGAGCTGTGTATGTCGTTTTAACCTTTCAAGTGGCCACAGTAAAGAACCAGACATGGTGTGGTGCCATAAGACTGCAGTTCAGGACACTGAGGCAGTGAGACTCCATCTAGAAATAAGAAGTATAAAGCAGGCTGACAATATGGCTGGCTAGTGGCAGTATACTTGCCTAGCATGTGAGAGGCCCTCGCTCAATCCCCAATGCCACAAGAATAAATAATAAAGTTATCCAAAGAATAAACAAGTAAAATTCATTTGAGTCATATATTTAATTGAGCCAAGTCTATTACTATTTCATTATGTAATCAATATAAAATATTTTACACTATTTTTCCCTAACAAGTCTTCAAATCCTACTGTATAATTTGCACATGCTTCTCAATTCTAGTCCTCTACCCTACAGGTGTTCACTAACCCTGTGTGGTTACTTGAGTCTCCAACTGTTGTACCTGAGTCCATTGGGCCGCCTCTCAACATTCAGATGTTCCTAGATCTTGACCTGATGTTCATAATGGCATCATGCAATACCAAATGAATGTTTCTTTAGCTCCCATTGAAAAAAGTATCCATATCCCTTCTTCCTGACATGGCCACTCCATCTGTCGAGACAGCTGCCTCAGACATCAGCTGTGGGCCTCCTGGTGCTTGGCACATGCTTTGACACATGTGGATGCCACGTGTACTCTCCCCTGGGAGAACTGCAGGCCTCTTCAAATACCTTGGGAAGGTGGTAGGCTGTCTATGGTTAAAGGACCCGTGCTGTACATGCTTTCAATACAATCGCTGTGTGCCATGCATCTAAGAGATTATCAGAAGTTGAGACCTAGAGACACACATGCCACTGGGTCTTCTGTCATTCTTTCAGTTCCACAAGGAGAGGTTCAAGATCGACATGCCACACAGATTCAAAGTCTACAACTACAAGAGTCCAACCTTCTGTGAGCACTGTGGGACACTGCTGTGGGGACTGGCGAGGCAAGGACTCAAGTGTGATGGTGAGTGCAGAGGCATCAGTGTGGGTCCTGTGCACGGCCCCAATGTTGCCTGCGCATCATGGAGGGAAGGAGAGGCTCTGGAATGATGACCTCTGTACCCATCTTTATGTGCCCATGAAGATGAGTGCCACCTCCCTGAGAAATGGACTTCCACTACTATCCTTCTACCCTGCCACATCTCCATCTTCACATCCAAGGAAAGTGCACAACTGGTCAGATTCAAGGTTTAGGCTCCATAGCTTAGGGTGAAAGTCATGGTTCAACAGGTCAAGGTCAAAGCTCAATAGCTCAGTCAAGGTCAAACATCCTGACCTGAAATACATTGAGTATTTCAATGTTATACTCAGTCCTGGAGTGAAAGGACAGCATTCCTCTTTGACTGGTCCCTCTGCCAAGGACTCTTCACTCTGACCCAATACGCTGTCCCTTATATTCTGGGCCCCCATCTTAATTCTAGCAGACTGAGTTATGTGGAACCCCTGCCCTCCTCCTTAGTACCAGTTAATGAGATGATTTCTGTCATCCCATCAAGGAGCAAACATATGTGTCTATTTGAACAGTAGATGGTTCTAGTGAGAGGAACTCCGGGACATTAGCTGCAGAGTGTATCCTAAACTATGGCTGTGAACTCCAAGTGCCCAGAAGCGACTGTGTCCAGGACGGACCACCCTTCCTCTGGGGTTTGGACTATAGCAGAGCTAAGCTACAATTATTTTATTTTTATTGTATTTTATTGTATTTATATACATCGCTACTATCCCCTGGAAGTGGCGGTGCTCAGGCCTACACTGAAAAGAGAAACTAGGCATTCTTGATCTAAAACTCTTAAGTTTAAAAACTGAAATGTTATAACTAGGGAGTCACGAGGACAAAAATGTCTAACGAAGACCAACAAAGCACTCTGCCCTGCAGGTGAGAAAGAAGGGGAGACCTAGATGATTCACAAGATGGCTTTTATCAAATAAAAAGACCTTTCTGGTGATGAACTATTACATATATCGGCCTTTTATTTTACTTTGCAGCATTACTTATTTTCTCTTCTCTTTTAAGAGCTGGAGATAGCCTCCTACAATTGGAAGACCATCCTCTTCTGTCTCTCTTTCCTCACTTCAGTAGTGTCCATGTACCTGGGGGAGCCTAAGAGGGGCACCTTAGTGGAAACAGGAAGAGTTAGGGTTACCAATTATTACCCATAGTCATCACTGGCCATCAGAATTCACCTCAAGAACCCCTTTACGTGTCACAAAGTCCTACTTGTGTCCTTTCCTCCACATGCCTGTTATAAAGGAAACTTTGACATGTAGGATTATGGAAACTATTATTAATTCTTAGGGAACAATAATATCCAGACATCCTAATTATATAAACAGAAAGGCAAATGACAAAACTCTCACTGCTTGCTACTCCTGTGACCACCTCATAGGTTTCGTTTCCTGGGAGCCTTGGTGCCTACTACTTGCTAAGGCAGAAGTTGACCTTGACGGCATGATCGCAAAGCTTAGAACTTCCCTGAAGATTCCTTAGCATTATTTCACACTCGTGTGCTTTGCTTTACTCTTTCTAACATTCCTTCCTTCCCATTCCATCCCCTCCCCCTCCTACTCTCTGGATTTCATATAACCCCTTCCCTCTCTTCTTTTATTCCCTCTCCTTTCCCCCTTTCCCTCCCTCCCTTCCCCTCCCCACTTCAACTTCCGTTTTTTTGTTTTTCATATTCCCTAGTATTCCTGTGTTCTCCACCAGGCTTCGTCCTCACTTCTTGACTCTTCTCATCCCTTCCTCTGGTTATCTTTATCCCTCTTTCTTTACCTCACTTTTACCTCCACTCATCAGTCCTTTCCTTGTGTGCCCTGCATCCTCAGCCTTTACACTGTCTTCTTTCCTTGCCCACGGTAATTCCCATGAAAATAGTCATCAGAAGGGACTATTTGCGATCACAGAGGTCAAGTTTCCACCTGATAGGTTAGTAACAAAGACTCGTGGTGTTACAATGGGAATAAAGGTCTTTCTTCCTGACTGAGCATCAGAGTCAAGCTTAGACCTGGCTACAATTTTAAGGAGCAAAGTAAAATAAAAATCCCAATGTACCTAATTCTCAACTGGTGTCTTACTTACATATCTGTACTCCCATCACTTGGGAAGCTGAGACAGGTGAATGTCCAGTTCAGAGCCAGCCTAGGCTACATAGTAAGACTCTGTCTCAGCAACAGCAACAAAATAGAAGCCTTAAAACCTACTAAATAAATCCATTGTAGCTATATCAACAATGCAGAGTTTTTACTGCCACTATTAAAGTTTTAAATATGCCTAAAAGATTTTACTTTAAACAAATTTTTATAGCAAATGAAATTTATTTACATAGATAATGTTTTATTTATTTTATGATGAACTGTCTAGAAAAATGTGGACTATTTAAAAGGTGAAGGCTGCCACAATTTCATCTCGATATTTTAAAGTTTTATCTTAAATTGCGTGTGTGTGTGTGTGTGTGTGTGTGTGTGTGTGTGTGTGTGTGCATGTGAGTCCAAGTTCATGGATGTCAGAAGAGGGTATTGGATCCCCTGGAGCTGGAGTCACGGAGGTTGTGAGCTATATGACTTAGGTGCTGGAAACTAAGCTTGGATCCTTTACAAGAGCAAGAAGTGCTCTTAGCCACTGAGCCACCTTCCAGCCCTACCCAGATGTTTTTATACGTGCTGATGTAAATTATAATGGTGGAAGAGAAGTTGTACTTGCTGAACTGCAGCCCTGTGTGAAACTCTGTGCACATGGCTTGCTAATAAGCAGTGAAGATTAAATGTAGGGTCTTAACTGTCTAATTCTATTAGTAAAATGCTTAAGTAGTTGGGTAGAAGCAAATAGTACCTGAGGTTAGAGCTTTCATCTGCTGGAGCTTGGAGTCTTTATACTAGTTTTTCTGTTGATTGTAATGGTGATCCTTTAAAGGGAAATTTTTCTAAAAACTAATAGCATGATGTAATAGTTGTCTTTACATAGAGACATCCTCCTACAGACAAAAGGAGGATCCCAAGATCCCAGGATGATGTTATTAGGACTTGTGAACCAGGGTGTTTGTAGGGTCTCAGTGCTAGAAGCCTATGTAGACAGCATCAGAGGCATTCAGAGAGAGAGAGAGAGTTGTATATAGTGCTAGAGATCCCCCTCAGAAACCCTTGGGGCTCTTTGTTCAAGCTCGTGCAAGGTCAGCAATAACCAAGAAAGACCATCCTCCCCACTCATGTATTGACCACTTCTCTTTCTTTTTCTGTGGAAAAACTACAAACCACGTCTTTGCAGACCTGCAAGGACGAAAGTGTGCTCTCTTCTCTGCCACTTTCTGTTAACTAGGCCACAGGTGTAAAGTTAAGACATTACCTCACATGTAAGAAATACCATTTTTTTCATGACCTTGATATTAACCTAAGCACAATTCCAGTAACTGTAGGGGGTCCTCTGCCCTCCCTGTAGTTGCATAATATCTGGGGGTGCATGTGTTTGGGGGCCTGAAAACTGAGGCAAGACCCCCATTCGGCTGTCAGGCTGGTGTTGGCATCCCCATCTAGAACCCCAGTGAGGAAGTTCTGTGGCTTTCTTCTTAAGGCTTTGTGGAAGGTTGTCTGATTTCATCAAATCTGAGGCCTGGTGCCAAGGTCCAGTTCCACTAGGGCACTGCAGTCCGTCCAAGTTTCCTTCACTCCTGGGTCCACAACTGTTTGATTCCCTTCTAAAGTGCCGCTCAGTCTCTAAGTTCTGTTCACAGGAGACCCAGCCCTCCTGGATGTCCCCCACTAGCCAGGGCTCAGACCTCTGCCCTCATTACATGGCCCCATCTTCACCAGTCAAGAAGTTTATTAACGACGGCTCTTCCTAAAGTGAGCCCACGGTCTCGGGGCTTCTTGCCTCCTGCCTACTCCTCGCCCTTCATTTGCATAAGTACCACCTCATCCCTGTCCATTTCCCTTCTTCAGGCTGAGGCCTCAGCTTAGGCTTCGTCCTGCAGAAGCTCCACCCAGGGCAGCTGGGAAAGGGAAGACTCAGTCTCCGGACTGGAGTGGAAGGGCACCCTCTTCTATCCTAGCATTTCCTAATCAGTAGAACCATCAACAGATGCTTCAATAGAACTGACGTCAGCTTCGTGCTTCTCTCCACAGTCCGTCTCAGATGCGATGCCAAGCACAGACTTTCTTCCACAGACACGAGACTGTAATGCTCCCTCAAGCAGGTGTCATTTGGAGCTCCCGGGGTTTCCTTCCCTGTTCCTCACGGACTACTTTCTTCCTTTCAGCATGTGGCATGAACGTCCACCACCGATGCCAGACAAAGGTCGCCAACCTCTGTGGTATAAACCAGAAGCTAATGGCTGAAGCACTAGCAATGATTGAAAGCACCCAACAGGTGAAGCCGCAAGAGGCTGTTGAGATTCCCCCTGTGTCCCCTCCACAAGGGCCACTCGAGTCCTTTGCTCTCTCACTCTGTCATCCCAACAGGATGTCCCAGGGTGTCCTTCTGAACACTTGCCTTGGGCTTTTCACCTTCCTGCCCATATTGCCACCTTTGAGATGCTTACTAAATTCATGCATCTGTGTGCTTAGTTACAATATCATAAACTCTTCATAGAATGAGTAGGTAGAGGAAAAATGAGTTCCTTAAAATTACTGATGATTTACTGCCAGCTTTATATCTATATTTTAGGGCTATCTAAAAAGCTGGAGGGCAAAGATCTGCTTACTAGAATCATCTCCAGAATTGTCTCAGGACACTGAGTCTAGGTGACTTCTGCCTGGCCATTTACACCTTGTCATAGGTTAAATTCCCATCTCTTAAGAACCAATTCTCACTGAGGCTTGGCGTTACCTTCTGCATAAGCTACTTTGCCATTGACCCTCTTTCCTACCCTTACTTGTCATGGGATGAGGCTACTTGTATGGAAGATTCCAGCTAGTCCCCCTGAAGTGTAAAAAGGAGCTAAGTGCCTGCTGCTGGTGGCATTAAATGCTACGGATGCTTGCAAGTCCAAGAATCCTAAGAGCCCTGAAGGGAAGAAAAGCTTTGACTGCCCTGCACATTTCACAGTCTTAAACGCCTTTTGTCCCCAGGGACAGGTGTGCGGTATGCTTTCTGTGGGTGGGAGATGGTGGCAACCGCAGGGGGTTGGCTTGTCTGACCCTGTTTGTGATCTAGGCTCGCTCCTTAAGAGATTCAGAACACATCTTCCGAGAAGGACCAGTCGAGATCGGTCTCCCATGCTCCATCAGAAATGAAGCCAGGCCACCATGTGTACCGACACCTGGGAAAAGAGGTAGCTATCGCTGTGGTTGACTGTCAGTCAATGTCAGTCACCTGTCAGGATCAATTTGACCCTGGATTTGAGTTCTTCGTGTGCCTAGTCTGATAAGCTTCCTTTTTCTCTATTTAAAGATTACAAATCCAATTATTAACTTTGAGGCCCCTACTTTTTTTTTTAACTGAAAATACATTCATTCCTCAGACAATATATCCTGATTACAGCTTCTCCTCCTCCTCCTCCTCCTCCTCCTCCTCCTTCCTCTTCCTCTTCCTCTTCCTCTTCCTCTTCCTCTTCCTCTTCCTCTTCCTCTTCCTCTTCCTCTTCCTCTTCCTCTTCCTCTTCTTCTTCTTCTTCTTCTTCTTCTTCTTCTTCTTCTTTTTGTTTTTTTTTTGTTTTTTTGTTTTTTTGTTTTTTTGAGACAGGGTTTCTCTGTGTAGTTTTGGTGGCTGTCCTGGATCTTTCTCTGTAGACCAGGCTGGCCTCGAACTCACAGAGATCCTCCTGGCTCTGCCTCCCTAGTGCTGGGATTAAAGGCGTGCACCACTGCTACCTGCCCTACTCTTCTTTTTAAGAGTAAAACCAAGACATGCCTAACCAGGAGTTTTTTGTGAGGGGGTTGCTGGCGGAGGGTACTAGAGTGTCACTTCCTACCTGTGTTAAGTGGTTTTATGACATTCGTCTTCTGAAAAGCAAGATGAGGACAGGGCATCAGAGTTGTTGTTCTGCACCTTCCATACCCTTCTGTGAGGTTTCAAGACAGGAAGGAAAAAGGCCCTAAGCCTTAACCTTTGTCATGTGCCTACTGCTTGAAAGTACTTATGGGGAAAGGCAGCTACATGATTCCGGGTACTGAATCATATCAGCAAACATTATAAAATATGTTCTTTGGACTTCGAGAATATTGAATAATCTTAAGGACTGGGGCAATGGCTTAATTGGTAAATGCTTGTAATTGCAAGCACAAGGATCTGAGTTCAATACCCCAAAGAGACATTTAAAAAAAAAAAAAAAGCTGCACATGGTGGTCTTCCTTTGTAATCCCAGTGGCATGAGGTGGGGGTGGAGACAAGTGAATCCTAGAGTCCCACTGCCAGCCAGCCTTGCCTAATTGGTATGTTCCATGCCTATGAAGAACCCGGTCTTAAAAAACAAGGTAAGTGGTGCCTGAGGAATGGTAGTTGAAGGTGACCTCTGGTTTCCATGTACGTGCACACACACACACACACATACCCACATACACAAAAAAAATTAATGGTAATAGTTCTAAGGGAGGGATTCCTAAAAACATTTTTCTG